AAAGTCTTGAACGGAATGTTTCTCTTTTGGTGGCCAGAAACAGCCGCGATCTACCTCTTTTCGCCAATCCTTTTTTCGGGTGAAAAGACCTCGAACTCCGCCGCGGCAGATCGAGGCTTCCAGCCTTTCCCAGCCAAACGGCTAGCTGATAGCAGGTCCACTCGTGTCACATTGGGTCCACTTGAGTTTGCCAACTTTTGGAACAGGATGAAGGCTGGATACCTGGTCTAACAAAAAGGATTTGCTCTCTGGTGAGAGTCTTTTGTTTGTTTTTTGGCCTCAATCCGCCACACGATGCCTGGCCCTTTTCAATTCAACATCCAAACTAGCCAGTGGGCACTAGAGAAGCCAAAATGCGTTGAACAAGTGAGATACCGAGTGTCCTTGCAAACAGGAATTTCCCAACATTGTTATCTTTTATAAACGTGTCAACCCGCTCAACATCGCACGTTTTTGAGCTCCAAACAGACCCTGAAGATTCCTCCACTCGTCTCACTGGTGAGGGAGTCTGTGAAGTGCCTAGCTTCCAGCAGTGCAGGCTCACAGCAAGTGGTCACAGCTCAGCCACATCATTCGATCCATCAGATCAAACACATCCCCTCAGAACTCCATAAATCGGACGATTTCGGAGATATCAAGTAGCGACGTATGCCCACACGTGCCCACACGTGCCCACATCGGCCGCACGTGCCCAGGGATAGCGCACGGGGCGCATGGCGCTGCGCGTTTGTTTTGGTTGCTCGGGCAGGTGGAAACTCGCTGTGGATTTGGTGGTTTTCCATTTTTTAAAAAAGCTTTTAACTACCAAACCTGCGATGTCGAAACAACGTCGAAACCTTCTATTCACTTGATGCAGGCAGTTGAAGCCCTTGTTTGGGTTCTGATGTGAGGGTTCAATTCCATTCCAGAACGCGAGTCCCTGGCTAATTCGCCAGCGTCTCTTTGAACCAATAGATGCAGTTTAAAACCCCCGGTGAGTAGGTCCCTGGTCGGGGCCGGACAACACGCGGCAAGACCCTGTGCACATCCTTTTGCTTGAAGGACTCCACCGTTGACTTTGCATGGATCAGTTTTTTGGATCAGTATTTCTAGATGAGATCCTCTGAAGAAGAGAAGGTCTTCGGTTGTTCAATGTGTTCTCTCAAAGTGTTCAATGCACAACTAGTTTTGGTCATGTGCGTCTTGTTTTTGAAGAAGAAACACCTTCAGTTCCTTCCAGGGCCGATTGCAAATACTATGAAATAGATCAGGGCATTGGACCATAGGATCGGTCGGATTTTTTTCCAGCATCATGTTACGATGTTTCTCACTCAGACCACTCATAGCTAGCAGTTCACTGAAGGAGTCATGGTGCAGAATTTTCTGGAAGCTTCTTGGCCCATCCACCCTTTGCCAAAAATGCTCCGATGTCCTTGCTCTCACAGGCCGTGATCATTCATCATCCTGCCGATGGACTCCCAGGGAGACTCCCAGGGAGTCGGCTCAGGTGCCGAGATCCGGGGGGGGGGAAGCGCAGAGACTCTCGCATTCGGAGTGCCACCGGCTGCTGTATCCCAGAGCCAGGAGATGTTCCCCGCGGGGGGGGGGGGGTTGGGAAAAACCGGACTTGAACCTTCGAGGACCTGCCGAGACCCCTCGAAATTCGGCCCTGGGCGGCGTCCGGGTTGTTTGGGAGGCGGGAGAACTGAAGTGGGATGACAGAGTTTCAGATTGGTTGGATGTTGGAGCTCAAGTGTTTCATCTCATAGTTTGCGTCTTGACGTGACAAAAAACTGCATATGATCCTCATTGATTGTCAGCCGGGATGACAATTGCCACCAGTTGGTTGCCAGCCAACCCACATACCCAAAATGGAGACACGGCTCAAGAAAATCTTAATTTTCAAGGCCAATGGACGGACCCCAAAGGGAGGGCGTTGGCGTAAGCTCAGCGGGCAATTGGACCCAAGTGATGGACACCTGGGAGGTGTACTTTCGGACCGACTGGATCGACCGCGTTCGTGTTCAAAGGCTTTGTTGCGCTGGACCGTTCTTGGTCTCCAAAAGGTCTAACCTACGTAAGTCCTGCTTTTTTTACTATTTTTCCGACAAAAAGGCGAGCAACGCTGTCTGTGGCCTAGTAAACGCACTGGGGGAAAAAGGAAGGCAGACAAAGAACAGGGGGCTGCCAGCTATGCCGCCATCGTTGGATGGTCGTCGTCCCAGGCGACCTTCAGCGGGAGCTCATGATGCTCGCTGGCGATGGCTGTGGGGGCCACGGAGATATTTCACGAACAGTCCTGTTTCATGAAAGGTCTTTCTTTGAGCTCATGGACACATCGATCCTATGAGATGTTGGTGCTTCCAGCTTGTTGCTTCCAGCTTCTTGGGCTTCTCAACAAGCACGCGTCGCCGACCCCCACGCGTCGCCGACCCTTGGGCGCCTCTGTTTGCTTTGAGGTTCCATCTGCGTTGGAGACCTTCGGGCCCGGGGTGTTCCCACGGCGATGAGCGGTGCGGAGCGGTGCGGAGTGGTCGGATGAGTTCGGTGGAGTGAATCAGAAGTTGAGAAGTCAACACCACGTCGGAGTGGCAGCGGCCAGAGGTGGTGAGGTCATGTGAGGTCGCTATGTGATCGCAGTTCCTTTTTTCTGCACCATCTTGGTGGATTTGAGGACATGTTTGATGGAATGTTGGAAGTATCTTTGAAGAACTCCCTTGGACTATAATGATGAATTCGCCACATCTCTTCAAATCTCTTCCAAGTTGCTGGTACTCGGTCTTCTCTACTTTCATATCGATATCTGTTATTAGTGTGTTAGCACTGCACGGAGATCGTTAGACCGTGGCAGACCACTCCAAACTGCAGGATGTCGGATGGCGGCCGCCCGCCCCTTTCGCCGCTTTTCGGCCGGAGTCCCAGCGACCACGGCGACGGAAGGCGTCGTGCTTAGCTTTGGCTCACAGAAGTTGGAAGATAGAAGGGCCGACTAGCCGTACGACTCAAATATCTCCCCGAGAACTTCTATTTTCGGTATCTTTTCCTCACAACGCTACCGTGTATGTATATACTGTATGTCCTGCAAGGTTTACTTTAGACTGAACGTTTTTGTGGATGGTCATTATGCACTCCATTCCAAAACGCTCACTGTCTTAACTAAACCTTCTTCCTTCTGGCACTGAGAACATCGTGGGAGGCGCGTGTTGACGCCGACCTTGCCGGATCTAGATTCCTGAGGCCACTGTTTGCCGGAACTGATAAGAACACAAAGAATGTAACGCCATCCGTCAAAGCGACAAAAATGAAAAACATGATGCTGGTGATGCAGGACTACATTGCTGGCATTATTAGCACTTTCTGGACTGCCAAGAGCCATAGACATCTTCCCCGGCGCCTGCAATGGGCGATCTGCAGGCGCCAGGCGGCCTCGGCCTCTCACACAGTGCTAGCAGGTGACAAATGACCTGAGTACACCTGTAGCAGGTACATCACTGCGTTTTTCCCGGAGTTATATCACTGTGAACATTTGTTCAGCACAATGCGTCATCCGCTGCTGGAACCGCCGAAGAGCCCCATGATTGGAAGGGATGCACGCAGACACATCACATGCCCCCCCCTGATGCGGCCGATGTCTGCCACCATCTATGTTCTCATACCTTGTGGTTGCTTCTTGAGCGGCTCTGCTGCTTTCTGCTGCTTAGAGATATTTTCAAGTCGAGGTGTTTGCTTTGCTCGGACCAACACTTTGCTTGTGCAACGCGTGCTAAAGGCTTGTAACTTAGACCGCTTGTTGAAGGCATGCTGTAAAGAACGCAGCTTGGTGCACGCAGAACTTAGGACATTGACTTTTACCTCAGAACCGTTCATTCCGCAGCAAAACCCACTGCACCTTCTTGGTTGTGGTTTGCAGCGAGCGTCTCAGCTCGGCGCATGTCGTATCCTGCGTGCAATGAATGCATTGTCCGAACGTATCAAAAACACATGCAGTTAACAGTTAACGACATGTGAGAAGCTTGCGTTTTTGTTTTTTGTTTTTTGAACCATGTGATATTTCGAAACTTGCTGGCAAAAGGATAGATGAGCAGATGACCTTAGCAGCTCAATGTATGTTGAACAAGGCTTCGGTGTGCCGGCCATGTACATGTTGGTGTTTCGCGTTTTTCCCCACGACACTCTTCTTCCAATGTATGTCATGTTGCATGTGCCAAGCAGCGCTGCGGACGCCCGTTTTGGGGCACACCCTCTGGCACGCAGCGAGCATGAGCTACATACTACATGCCCCCCGTTGGAGAACAATCATGGCTGTGAAAAGGGAACAAAGAGGTTGGAAGGTTTTACTGAAGGAATTGGCTTTTTGAGGTGACCAACAGAGGTAGCCAGTGACCTGAACGCTCGGACCCGTCACCTGGGGTACCTATAGGATAGCCGAACTAGGGTTCTGACCCACCTCTGCTGGGAGTGGTGAGATTTTGCGGAGCACTATTGAAAGATGTTCGGTGTTAGGTTGAACCCGCCTGGTCGGTTTCAATCAGTCGGTGAAACTTTTTGTTGGAGCCGTTTCCCGATTTTCGTTTTTGTGTCTCATCCCATTGTATTTCGTTTTCGTGTCTAGTAGATATTATATAATTGGAAGATGGTGTAGCCAAGGTAATGGAATGGGATCATGAGAATTAGCAGAGGGACACGCATGAGTTCCATGATGTTTGAATCCATTTTTCCACTTCGGTACGCTGGAAGCCCCATGCCGGACCACAGGCCATGACCTGACTGTCCTGAGAGGCGAGCGTGTCGCTGGACCTAGCTGGACCTAAACGCAAAAAACGACCTACTTGACCTTCAAATGGCAGTTGATGTTTGGGGAACTACTTCCTGAATATCTTTTCCAAATCTAAGTCGGAGCTTCTTGTCAATGACCCAGAAGCAAGCTTTGGAAGACTCGGCTGATCGAGCTTTTGGGTCTGCCAGATGAGACGCATTTGAGAGCTTAGTTGAATTCTGATGACTATCAACCACTGAGGCGAGTGACACTTCCGGCAAGCCGCAGGCCGCACCCTGAGCTGACAGTTCTTTTTCTTCGAGCGTGTGGCCTGCGCTGCAGACGGTACAGATAGTCGCTTGAAAAGGTCGGCCAACCGTCACTCCGGTGGCGATGGAGCCACCTGTGTGTTGCACAGCCCGACTGGCTCACCCGGTGTGTGGCTCGTCCGGTGTGTGGCTCCGAAGGCCCGACTCTTCCGGTCGCGAAGCTTCCCTGGGACCGGCTCCGCTTCGGATCTGTGGTCCCAATGACCCTGGCCTTTCGCTGCGTCCAGGGATCTGTGGCCTACCGCACGTCCAAAGCCATGGCAGAGAGAAGCGAGGCCATCTGCTCCAAGGGCGACACCTTCTTCGGCAAGCGCCTCACGGCACAGGAGACGGGTTTTTGTTCAGGTGGTTTGAGACATATTTTCAAGATTTTTTCCAGATTTTTAAAAAAAACTGGGAAGGATGATAAGGATGATTCTTATTAACCGATGTTCACCTGGGTGGCCCGATTTTCCAGGATGGATCCGTGTGGTTGTCCAACGAGTCCAACCAACTCTTCCTGCCGATGGTGCATCCCGAGAAGAAGAAGGAGATGTTTGAGGAGGTGTACTGGGAGTGCACCTTCCAAGGCACCGTCCAGGCCAGGAGCAGCCCAGAAGTCTCCGACACCTCTGAGACATGGGTGAAGACGGGCCAGAGCATCTCGGCCTTGCCAGTGGCGGAGCACCCTGGGTGGTTGATCGAGGCCGACAGCAAGCTGTTCTATCCCATGAATCATCCGAAAAGTGGAGACGTCCTCTTCAAAAGCAAGACTTCTCCGAATTCCTCAGACTTGGAGGAGGGCCAAGGCGTTCTGAAGGATCCCACTGATGACCCCTCGTGTGAACAGGTGGCCGCAGCCATCAGTCTGTGCATCCCCTTGGTGGGATGCGTCACGTTTTGTGTCTCTGCGGCCAACAACAAGGAAGGCTCCAACAAGCGCAAGTGGGGCAACATCGCCTGCGGAGTGGCGACGGCTTCGGCGATTCTGGGTGTCATGCTCAGATTCACCGTCTTCTCCACCAGCAGTTACTATCAGTACTAGCCACATCAATGTGCTACACCAGCAGAGTGCGGGTCATGGAAGCACCCTGTAGCTGCGCGCACACAGCGTCTGCGGCTGCTGAGGTGGGCGTCCATGTTCTGTGCTTGGTGTGTAGTTTTTGAACTTTGAACATGTGGGCCAATTTTCCCTATTGCATGGGTATAGCGGGCTTCTTTGCACTCTTGTTGCAGGTTAGAGTGTGGCACGTGCCCAAACATTGCAGAGAGCTCAACAGTAGCACTCTGAGATGCTCAAGAGTAGCACTCTGATCGTAGCATATCTTCGCTACTGTAGATTGGAGAAACGTTTGCTCGATGCAAACTGAGGTTGGTCTAGGATACCTGGAACATCCTGGAACTACTTTTGAGAGATGTTAAGAAACACCAGAACCTCTCATCCCATGAGATCTGTCGTTGTCAGCGGTGTAAGCAAGTCAATGTCAAGATCAGGATGGAATTGACAGATGGACATGTACAAGTTCCATCATTGTTGAATGACTTTTCCCCTTTGGAACGCAAGTTGCAAGCTCTGGCAAAAGACCATCCCGACTTCCTCGATTGTCTCCCATATGAATAAACATCTATAAACTATATGAAAGCATACAGGATATGATCCCAAAGTTGCCTTGAATCATCTTACACGTTTCAGAGGGCTTATTGTCAATGACCCAGAAGCAAGCTCTGGAACAATGGAAGTGGCAGAGGGGGACGCACGAGTGCCATCAATGATGTTGGATTCGCGCCTCGATTCACCTGTCCCGAGGTCGGAAAGCCCTTCCAACTTCTGCAAGAATGGGGACCGTACTGAAAGGCCACGAACTTGGGAGCTAGCTTCAGAAATGCATCGCGACCTGAATATCAACAGTTGACGTTGCTGATGAAGATCAACCACTGAGGCGAGCGACACTTCCTGCCCGCCGCAGGCCGCACCGGCCGCGTCCTCGGCGCGGAATCGAACGGTGGACGTCCGTGGACGGAGCGACGCGTCGCTCGGTGCGTCGCGTCGCCTCGTTGGGTCCATTGAGTCCGGTACCATGTCGATTGAAGAAGTGCATGTCTATTTTGAAGGGTTCGATTCCTGAATTTCTCTTGAGACCAAAACGAAAAAAATAAATCCCAGTAGCTGAGCTGTTGCACTCAATAGGGAATGGTCGCAGTCTCAAATGGACCTGGTGCCCCCAATTGTAGTCTAAGTCTGTGTGGTTGCAGATCAACGTGTTCAAACCGAAGTCCTTTTGGTCCCCAGCTACATGAGTCATAGAGATCTACTGCGCAGGCGTAGAATCAGGCGAACGGTGCAGCCTTGGAGCTGCGGTTTCAACGTGTTTCGTACACATCGTTTGGACGATGAACGGAACCCGGGATCGGACGTACGAGAAACGACGAGAAACGACGAGTCTGGTTTGTGGATGAGGATGCCAACGCCATATTTGACGAAGCGTTCCGGGCTTTTTGGAAGATAGCCCCATTTGAGCCTCAAACCCAAGCAGCCCAAAGGTGGATTTCGAGAGCCCAAATCTGTATATGTGAAAAAAGGGCCGCCCAAAGGGAGGCCAAAAGCAGATGGTCTCCGGGGCAGGCCAGATCCCACCCATCACCGACCCCCCCGGGATGCTGGGGGCGACCCGCTGTCGCGTCGGGGTGGGTTGTTGGTGGTGGATCAACCCATGGGCTGGCAGCTGGCAGCGGTGAATGAATGGTGGGAAGCCCCCGCAGGATAGAGGTGGGGAAGTTGAGGGGTACATGGTTTGTTCAACTCAATGACTTGGGAGAACGTATGACAATTGGACCCACTTGGGTCCTGATCGTTTGGAATGGTCAGGACTTTGTGCTGCGTTTGGCTGCACTCGTTTCGCCCCATGAGGTCGGCCATGAGCTTCCCGAGCCGGGAGCATGTTCCCGAGCCGCAACATGCTCACCCGAGCCGCAACATGCTCACCCGATTCGTCCAATCAGTTCGACGAATCGGATTTGGATGAACCCCTTTGGAGTGGTCCCTCCATCGCTCCAAGCACCTCGCCTGGTCCGGGCGCTTTGGCCCAACTGGGACGCACACCGAAGGCACGACGCCAACGGCGCCACTGGCAGCGCCCCACTGGCAGCGACACGGCCGCTTCGGGCCTTGAAATATGACGGAGCGCGAGGACATAACAGTGCTGGGAAAGGGGATGTGAGTGTTTCTGGCAAGTGTTGATGATGCGGGCTTGGACATCTTGTCCGATGTCCTTAGTGCAAAGCATTGGCAGGAGCTCGACTTCGCCAGCTGGCCAGCTGCGGCATCATCGCAGGCGAGACGTGTTTTCCGTGCTTTTGGGGTTGAAGGGCTCGAATTGAATAGCCATCGGGAGCCAGTTCGGGAGCCGTGGGGGGCGCCCATGGTCGCATCAGGGTAATCCATGTCTATATATATATATATATATATACTACATACATATTATTCGTACTGTGAAGTTATCTTCTTTTTTTTTTTCCCGAATGCGTAGCGAAGGGTTCTCGTTTAACTCTTGGGGGTCTGGGGGTAGAGCTTTGTTCGCGACCCGTTGCTTCTATGTTCGCAACCGTTGGCAACCGTCCGCAACCGTTCGCAACCGTTCGCAACCGTTCGCAGTAGAGCGCTAAGGCGCTGCCATTGGGGGAAGCTTTTGCAAGTGACTTTTCATGGATGTGTCACGTGTCAGTTTGCGACGCTATTCCATTGTGATTTGCATGAAAATGACATGTCGCGCAAGAAGCGCGATGCATTTCGCTGCACAGGCGCAGCGTTTTGTGAGATCCTCAGTTTGCTACGCAGTTCCATTGGGATTAGCATTTGGAGAGTCGTGTTTTTGGGGTGTTGGATGTGGCCGTGCCATTGGGATTTGCGTTTCAGGGTGTGGCATCGAAGCTCTGTTTTCGTGACAAGTCTCAGCTGAAATGGCGGTTTTGGTGGATGGGAGTGTGCTCAGAACGGATCGAAATCATTCCAAACGTGTGGTGTGGTGCAAATTTTGTTCAAGCTCACATGAGATGATATTGTCACTTTTCGCGGCAGGCGCAGTACTTTGTGCGGGTTTTGAGGCATGGAAGTGTGATTTTCGTGGCAGGCGCAGGGAATCGTGAGGTTGCGAGGTGTGACGGAGGTGACATTGCGTGGCAGGCGCAGTACTTTGTGCGCGTTAGACGTGTGGACGCGGAAAGATGCGTGGCAGGCGCAGGGAATCGTGAGGTTGTGAGTTGTGGTAGAGGTGACTGTCGTTGTCTCATTGGGATTGGCGTGTGAGCGGGTGTTGTTTGGAGGGGCTGGAATCGCGAAACTGCTTGGCAGGGCTGCGTGATGTGTGTGCTCCGATGGGTGTTTCCGCTTGACTTTTGGAGGAAGTCTCGTACGAAACGCTCGTTTTGGAGACTTTGACACGTGAGTTTTTGAGGAAGTCTCGTACGAAACGCTCGTTTTGGAGAGTTGACACGTGACTTTTGGAGGAAGTCTCGTACGAAACGCTCGTTTTGGAGACTTGACGTGTGACTTTTGGAGGAGGTCTCGTACGAAACGCTCCGTTTTGGAGCCTTGACGCGTGACTTTAGGAGGAAGTCTCGTACGAAACGCTCGTCTTGCAGCCTCGAAGCGTGACTTTTGGAGGAAGTCTCGTACGAAACGCTCGCGTGACTGCTTCTAGTGTGTGTGGGCAGACCGTGTCGTGACACGAGTGTCCCACAAGAGTGTCCCACAAGAGTGTTCCACAAGAGTGTCCCGCAACCGTGTCCCACAAGAGTGTCTCACAAGAGTGTCCCTTAAGAGTGTCCCACAAGAGTGTCGTATAAGAGTGCCCCACAAGAGTGTCCTACAAGAGTGTCCCACAGGAGTTTCCTACAAGAGTGTCACACAAGAGTGTCCCACAAGAGTGTCCCACAAGAGTGTCCCACAAGAGTGTCCTGTAAGAGTGACCCACAAGAGTGTCCTACAAGAGTGTGTCACAAGACTGTCCCACAAGAATGTCCGACAAGAGTGTCCCATAAGAGTGACCCACAAGAGTGCTTTTGAGAGTGTCCCACAAAGAGTGTCCTACAAGAGTGTCGTGTAAGAGTGACCCACAAGAGTGTCCTACAAGAGTGTCTCGCAAGAGAGTGTCCCATAAGAGTGACACACAAGAGTGCCCCACAAGAGTGTCCCACAAGAGTGTCCCACAAGAGTGCCCCGTAAGAGTGGCCCACAAGAGTGTCCTACAAGAGTGTCCCACAAGAGTGTCCTACAAGAGTGTCCCGCAAGAGTGTCCTACAAGAGTGTCCCAAAACAGTCCCCCCCCAAGAGTTTCCTACAAGAGTGTCCTACAAGAGTGTCCCACAAGAGTGTCCCAGAAGAGTGTCCCGCAAGAGTGTCCTACAAGAGTGTCCCAAAACAGTGCCCCGCAAGAGTTTCCTACAAGAGTGACCCACAAGAGTGTCCTACAAGAGCGTCCCACAAGAGTTTTCCACAACAGTGGCCTATATGAGTGACCCACAAGAGTGCCTTACAAGAGTGTCCCACAAGAGTTTCCTACAAGAGTGTCCTATAACAGTGTCCCACAAGAGTGTCCTACAAGAGTGTCTCACAAGAGTGTCCCACAAGAGTGTCCTACAAGAGTGTCCCACAAGAGTGTCCTACAAGAGTGTCCTACAAGAGTGTCCCGGAAGAGTGTCCCACAAGAGTGTCCTACAAGAGTGTCCCACAAGAGTTTCCTACAAGAGTGTCCTATAAGAGTGTCCCACAAGAGTGTCCCACAAGAGTGTCTCACAAGAGTGTCCCACAAGAGTGTCTCACAAAAGTGTCTCACAAGAGTGTCCCTTAAGAGTGTCCCACAAGAGTGTCCCACAAGAGTGTCCCGCAAGAGTGTCCCAAATGAGTGTCCCACAGGAGTGTCCCACAAGAGTGTCGCGCAACAGTGTCCCACAAGAGTGTCTCACGAGAGTGCCCCTTAAGAGTGTCCTGCAAGAGTGTCCCGCAACAGTCTCCCGCAAGAGTGTCCTACAAGAGTGCCCTACAAGAGTTTCCTACAAGAGTGTCCTACAGGAGTGTCCTACAAGAGTGTCCCACAAGAGTTTCCTACAAGATTGTCCCACAAGAGTGTCCCACAAGAGTGTCCCACAAGAGTGTCCCACAAGAGTGTCCCACAAGAGTGTCCCACAAGAGTGTCCCACAAGAGTGTCCCACAAGAGTGTCCCACAAGAGTGTCCCACAAGAGTGTCCCACAAGAGTGTCCCACAAGAGTGTCCCACAAGAGTGTCCCACAAGAGTGTCCCACAAGAGTGTCCCACAAGAGTGTCCCACAAGAGTGTCCCACAAGA